GGGTTGGGGCCGGGGCCTGGGCAGGGACCAGGGTCGGGGCCGGGGCCGGGGCCGGGGCCGGGTCCGGGTCAGGGGCTGGGGCCGAGGCGGGGGGAGGGGAGCCGAGTTTCCTGGCCGACACGGAGACCACCCCCCTGCACGACCCCTACGGGACCTCCCCGGACGCCCCCCGAGACCCCCCCGGGATGCGCCTCGGGACCACCCACCCCCCGGTAGGGACGGGATCAAAGTGAAGGGCTTCTTTTCGAATGAATTACGACGGCGTTTGATTTTGATTTCCGTTTGGCTGGATCCCTTGAGGAGGAGGGGAGCCCAGGGAAAGGTGGGAGTGGGACGACGACGACGACGACGACGACTCAAACGGCAGAATCATAGTTCGCTATCCATGGTAAATCGCAGTACCCAGGGGGGTGCGAATCTTTGGCTGGGGGTGTTGGTGAGGTGTATTCTTCTGTAGAAAGGAGAATGTTTGCCAACGTGGACCCCAAACAGTGATTTCTTGCAATATATGGTGTGAAGTGGTGCAATCTGTTCGCGGTGTGAAACAGTGCTAAGCAACGCGATGCGATGCGACACAAACTGACGTAACTTGCAATGCAATGCCAAGCAATACGATGCAATGCGACTGCAATACGAAGCTATCCGGCGACGACAGCGGCGACGGCGGCGGCGACGGCGGCAACGATCCGGTCGGACCGCCACTCAGGCTAAGGTTCTTTGTAAAGCAACTAAGAACTTCCAAGTACAAGCGTTGCTAGGGAATTAAGTTTGATAGATTTGAAGTTGCCAGGTCTACTGCTCATGCAAACATTCCACCCCCCACCCGCAACTAGTTGGCAAAGCTCATCTGGACATGATCTCAACAGGCGCGTGACACTCAACCGCGCAGACAAATTCGTCCTCCAGGTCGCGAAATGGTAGTGGTGGCGATGGCAGCGGTGATGACGTTGATGCCGATGGCAGTGGATATGGGAACGATACGGTTTCGAAGACGACGATGGTGACGGTGACAAAGCTGATGGTGATGGCAACGACAGTGGCAAAGGTGATGTTGGCGATGAGAATGACGATGGATGGTGTTGGTGATGATGATGAGGGGGAGGAGAAGGTGGAGGAGGAGGAGGAAGAGGAGGAAATGCCCGCGCTCAGAATTTTGAAAAGGGCCACTACGCCGACGATGACAATAACAGCGGCGGCGATGATCCCGATGCTTGTGATGATGATGACGACGCTGATAACGAGGATGATGATGGTGATGATGGTGATGAAGATGAGGGTGACGATAGCCATGTTGGCGTTGACGAGCATGGTAACGATTGGGCAGACATGACTGATGAGAAAGTGAGTTGCCCGTAGAAATCAAACATCCTGAAATGGTGCTATTAAAAGCCGTTTGGTTTTCGTATGTTGGTGAGCCCTGTGTGCTGAAATGGTGAGAACACCAAAAACGATTTCGGCGTGCGCGCGCGGCGGACGCGCGCGTTCGACCCGCATGATATCGCTTGACGAGCTGATGTGTGCGCGATGGTGGTTGAACGTGTTGGACATGCCCGCGCAGGTGGTCCGCATGGTCTGATCCGGCTGAATGGCTAAGCACATATGGCTGTCGTTCGCGCCAATGGTTTTGGACGGACGTTGATGTGCGCGTGAAGCGGCGCGCGCATGTGCATCGTAGCGCACATCTGTCCTTTTTGGCATTTTATATAGAAAACAATTTAACCTATATCTATATATAATTTGCCTGGCGAAAGACCCAACCATATGCAGTTGTGAGTACCGCAGTTGTGAATATCTTCTTCGGTGGCGTTCCCTATCGGCCACGAAACGCTGCACTGGGTGGGTGAAACGCAAGGAGCAATGGCCGTGTTGGATGGTGGCGGACGCACGCGGGCGGTGCCACTGGGACCTTCCGTGGAGCTCCTTATGAGGCCACGAAGCGCGGTACTGGGTGGGCGAAACGAAAGTAGCAAGGGCTGTGTTGGGTGGTGGCAGACGCATGCGGGCGGTGCCACTGGGACATTCGGTGGGTCCTCCCCTTTATGGGGGTTCGAAGCGCTGCACTGGGTGGGTGGAACGCAAGGAGCAAGGGCTGTGCTGGGTGGTGGCGGACTCATGCGGGCGGTGCCATTGGGAACTTCGGTGGAGTTCCCTATGGGGCCGCGAAGCGTTGTATTGTGTGAGCGAAACGCAGGGAGCAAGCGCTGTGCTGGGTGGTGGCGGACGCACGCGGGCGGTGCCACTGGGACCTCCCTTGGGGCCCCTTTTATGGGGGCACGAAACGTTGTATTGGGTGGGTGAAGCGCAGAAAGCAAGGGCCGTGTTGGGTGGTGGCGGACGCATGCGGGCGGTGCCACCGGGACCTTCGGTGGGGCCCCCATATGGGGCAACGAAGCGTTGTAATGGATGGGTGAAACGCAAGGAGCAAGGGCCGTGCTGGGTGGTGGCGGACGCATGCGGGCGGTGCCATTGGGCACTTCGGTGGAGGTTCCTGTGGGGCCAC